TATATGTATATGTATATGTATATATAGATAGATAGCTAAAAAAAAAAAGCACTGGACAGCTGAATTAAACCATTTTAAATATGTCTACTTTTGTCAAATAGAAAATATATTTAGGCTTATCTATTCACTTTTCTTTTTAATAAATACATTGATAATTGATTCTTTCATTTTATTTTGAGGTGGAACTCATATGAAGATTAACCTATAAATCTGAATCTGAATCATAAAGACAGCCTCACCTGCAGAAGAGAAGAGCGTTTGAATGCTTTACCACAGTCATCACACTTATAAGGTTTCTCTCCAGAATGAGACCTTAAACAACACACAAAGCAATTTTATTAAGGAACTTGTGGTAAACAGCATATAACATAACAAAAAAAAAGTCACCAAGGAATCACATCTTTATACATTATACAATACACAATATTCAAGATTTTGTGACCGTGCATGTCAACCCATATGTAGAATCAGTTGACCTCTCACCTCTGGTGGTATAGTAGGGCAGATGAGCCTTTAAAGGCCTTAGGGCAAAGGTTACAGCGATATGGCCTCTCATTGTTATGGCTTCTCTGATGATGTGCCAGTCTGGATGACCACTTAAAACTCTTGCCACAGTCCAAACACTGGAATGGATGCTCTGGGTTTTGAGCCACTGTTGCAACAGGGGGTGTTGACGATGTCACAATGTCACCTGTGAGCCCGACGGTTCCTGACTCTTTGCCCTCTTCTTCTCCCTTCTCTCCATCCTCCTCTCCATCCTCTACGGAGGGGAGGAGGGAAGGAAAGGGAGAGCGGGAGGAGGATGTCTGAGAAGGTAAGAGTTCAGTTTGGACCACCAGAGTAGCAACAGTGTTGGCCATCACAACTGGTGAGAAAAAGTTGGGCTTTGATAATTCTAATAATAAATCAGCATATTAGAATGATTTCTTAAGGATCATGTGACACTTTATACTGGAGTAATGACTGATGGAAATTCAGCTTTGCATCACAGAAATCAATTATATTTTAAAGTATATTAAAATAGAAACCATTGTTTTTTATTGTAATAACATTTTGCAAGATTACTGTTTTTTTTTCTGCATTTTTGATCAAATAAATGCAGCCTTGAAGAGCATAAGAGACTTCTTTAAAAACATTACAAGTCTTACTGATCCCAAACTTTTGAGCGGTAGTGTATA